TCACTGGCCTCCTCTTCAGCCTTTCTGCTTCCACCCTTGCCACCTTTCATTCTCGTTGTGGCAGCCTGAGGAGCTCTATGTTATAAATGATCCCAGGTCACTCTTCTGTTTCCAGTCTGCCCCCACTAGCTTCCCATTGCCATCAGGGTCAAACCCGACATCCTTCCCAAGACCCTACAAAATCTCCGTGACCCGATCTTGCTGATCACTGTGGTCTCACCTCCCGATGACTTCCCCATCCAAACCTCCCTTCCTGCTCTTCCCTGGACTCGTTTTTTATGGTGAGATTTTTTGCTATATGGGATATGCGCTCACTGGAGAGACAGAGAGAGAGAAAGTGAGAAATCATCCCACCTTCCTTTCCCCCCCAAGGGAGGATGTCCACACTGCAATCCCCTCTCCTCTGTTCTTCTCTCAGGATTCTGGGCACACATGCAAACACACCTGGCATGAGTTTCAAGCCTTTGGGTCTGAGACTTGAGCTGTAATTGACCATGTGAGAGTAGTAGCCTAGAGTCCTGATTCTGTGATGAGCAAGGGGGTATTATCTCATTTAACAGCACTGGTGTCTTTCCCTCCTCCCATGCCCATGCTGTGTGTGCCTTCACCCAGACTCCTACCAAGCCTGTTCATTTTGCTTAAGATCACCCAGAGTATAGTGAGCCCTTGGAGCTACTGTAGTTACACTTCAGAGTCATGTGGAAGGAGAGAAGAAAAAGGAAGAGCAGAGCGGGGGGAGCCTAGGGGAGTTGTAAGCTGTTCACTAGGCTTTTACCAGTGCATTAGCATCTCAGTATGATCTCTACATGGAAATTTCTAGAATGTTTTGATATTTTGCTGTTAAATTAATGTTGGAAAATCACAGACTTAAACAACAACTAAGGGAGGAATTAAACCAGTATTTACCTAACACAGAGATTATTTAAAGACTATTATAAAACTATGACTTAAACCTTATTAGAGAAATGCTATGACACGTAACAATCTCTGGATAATGAAATTATTTCAAAATATCAGTCTCCAAGAACAGTCATCATTAACACGATGTGAACGTCACCCTCATCGTGGCCTGTACATGGACTCTGGTGGCATGTGGATGAATTTTTAATAAGCACTACTCAGTGCAGTTTTACTTAAAATTAACTGATGGAAAGGAACTGAAATGAGACTGGAGGAACTTCTGAATTTCAGTTAAAAGTGCTTTTATCACAAGAGCCTTCCATGTATGTAATACTTAAACTCATAGACTTTCAAGGCTTTTCATAGTTTTTCAGTGTGCTTGCTGTAATTTTTAACCTAGTAGAAAGATATCTTAGATTTTATCAACAGTGTAGGTCATAAAGAAGGAAACTATGCTGAACCTCTATTTTTCCTTTTCTTTCCTGATCAGTGCCATCCTCTGGTCCCCAAAACTTGCGTGTCTCAGAGGAATGGTATAATCGGTTGCGCATTACATGGGATCCACCATCTTCCCCTGTAAAGGGCTATAGGATCGTCTATAAACCTGTCAGTGGTAAGTAAAAATTAAAAAAAATATATTGATCTATGCATAAGGATATAAAATGTCTGTTAAGTAAATTGCTTTGTTTTAATTTTCTATGTTTAGTTTTACTTTTTAAAGAAGGAAGACCCTCTTACCTGTTTAGAAACAAATGGTTTTCCAGCACAGTATTTAGACAGATATGATCAGAATGATGAAGCTATGTCTCACATCAAAAACTACCAGGCATGTCCATGGGTAGAATATATACAGTTGACCTAATGCACCTTAGACAGGGAACCTGCCTAAAGATGCCTTGACTCTATAGGAATAGGAAGCTTTATGAGTCGATGGCTATATAAGCTCTAAACTTTTGGAACACCTAATTTCAAATTTGTCTTTCTTGAACTATTCTTGAATTCCTTGGGGGAAATTCTATTTACCAACTCTTCAGTTTTACTTAAAATTAATTGATGGAAAGGAACTGAATCAGTGTCCTCATTTTAGAAACTATGTTGGGAGATAAAGGTCTACCAAAGAAGTGAAATACTTTCCTACCATCCTCTAAGCCGCCTCTCTCTACCTCCCACATCATTTCATCTTGCAAGACAAAGAATGACCCAAATAGGGAGTGACCAAAACCTTGGTTCATGAGCCTGTGAACAAGGGCCATGGGCACCAACCCTATCACAGTGTCAGTTCTCCATATTTGGCTCTCCTGTGGAAGTTTACACTGGAAACTAAAGTAAGCAGTGTAAAGGTCTTCTCAGTTTTCTAGGCCTCAGTCTCCAGTACTCTGGTAGTTCAACAGGAATGAGTTCTCCAGTTATTTTTCTTAATTTTGTAGGAATAATCTAAAATTATTCTTTGGACCCTTAAGAAATACTTTTTGCCCTAAAAAATTCCATTATCCTAAATCTGTTATCTGAGATGTTGTTCTTGCCCCTAACTAATTTTTAGCCTTTTCTAACAGCCCAGTTGCTATTGTCTGCAGGCCATACAACAAATAGACCCCATCTGTAGTTCCCCCAGACAAACATTTTTATGAATCATGAAACTAAAATGAGAATAGACCGTGGATACGCTTGTCTGCTCCGTACCGAAGCCTCAAGACTCACCACCAGTTTTTTGTTTCTTTGCTTTAGACCTGAAGCATGTTATTCTGTAAGACAGCTTTGCGAAATTAATTCTTTAGAGCATGTTAGAAATCTCCATCAGACTTTTTGAGTAAAAAGTATAGGTTGAGTATCCCTTATCTGAAATGATTAAGACAGGAAGTGTTTCAAATTTAGGGTTTGTTTGGATTCTGGAAAATTTGCATACACATCATGTGACATCTTGGGATGGGACCCAAGTCTAAGCACAAAATTCACTAATGTTCACATACACCGCATGCACATAGCCTGAGGTAATTGTATGTGGTATGTATGTACTGGAGCATTGTTCTTCAATGTCACATGAGGTCAGGTGTGGGATTTCCCACTCCTGGTCTATATTTGGTGCTCAAAAATGTTTGGGTTTTGAAGAAATTTTTATTTTAGATGTGGGAAAAGGGAGGCTTGAACTGGGGCTTTCCTTTAGGCCAGCGGTTCCTGATTGCTGTGCTTTGCCCTCCAATGAAGACATTTTTAATCATTGTAACTGGGGTGCATGGGAACTTGCTACTGGCATTTACTGGGTACTGCTAAACATCCTACTACTTACAGTACTCTCCCACCTCCGAATAAAGAATTTTCCACTACTAAATGTCAGTAGTGCTAAGGCTGAGAAATCTTGTTCTAGGCGTTCCAGGGGAAGAACTATCTGGTCACTTGCATAGTATGGCTGAGTCATT